AGGAGATTCCATCTGAACACGAGAAAGAACTTCCTGACTGTGAGAGCCATTCAGCAGTGGAACTCTCTGCCCTGGAGTGTGGTGGGGGGTCCTTCTTTGGAGGCTTTTAAACAGAGGCTGGATGGCCATCTGTCAGGGGTGATCTGAATGCAATATTCCTGCTTCTTGGCAGAATGGGGTTGGACTGGATGGCCCATGAGGTCTCTTCCAACTCTTTGATTCTCTGATTCTATGAGGCCATCTCATCTTGGTCTGGATTTAATCTAGAATTCGAACTTGATTTACAAGGCCTTTGGGGCTGTTTATGGAGAAATGATATCAAAACATAAAATTCCTGGCTCACAAGGGAAATTATTATTTTTTTTCTGTTGCTAATGGGAGTTGGAATTTGATGGCCTGGATTTTATGACTCTTTGTTTCCCATGTGGCCCTCCAGACCATCGTAAATGAGTCACAAAAACAGTATCTTGACAAAATGTAGACTTGCAACTCTCCAGCGTGGTCTTTAACATCTTTGCCCGACGAAGTAGCAAGTCGGGCTCCTAAATGTGCAAAATATACTATATTTTTGTTGGCACAATAATGGTAGATTTGGGGTGTTACTGTATTTTGCTGCACAGCCAATGCAGCCACCCTTGGAAATGCTATCAAGATCTCGTCCCACAAATCTGATAACTTATTCAGATGTGTGAAGCATCCCATTACCTGCTTCCTTGCATTATTTAATAAAAGCAGTACTGGAGCCAGACTGTAAAAGACTCCGTTTACAACCTCAACAGTGTCTCAATACCATTGGATTCATAGCAATTTGCAAAAGCTGACTGGCACAACCTGGGGATCACAACCAGATACAGTGAAGACATCATCCCTTGTGCTTTGCTACTCTGCTGCTGAGTTTTAATTAATTGTGCGAAATTAATTTTAATTAATTGTGCAAAAGCCTCCTTAGCAACCATTGCAACCATTGGGCATACTGAGTATTCGTGTAGAATTTGGTCCAGATCCATCATTGTTTGAGTCCACAGTGATCTCTGGATGTAGGTGAACTACAACTCCGAAACCAAAGGACACTGACCACCATACCCTTCCAGCATTTTCTGTTGGTCATGGGAGAACTGTGTGCCAAGTTTGGTTCAATTCCATCGTTGGTGGGGTTCAGAATGCTCTTTGATTGTAGGTGAACTATAAATCCAGCAACTACAACTCCCAAATGACAAAATCATTTTTTTGAGTGATGATCAAAGAACATTCTGAACCCCACCAACAATGAAATTGAACCAAACTTGGCACACAGTTCTCCCATGACCAACAGAAAATACTGGAAGGGTTTGGTGTTGGAGTTGTAGTTCACCTACATCCAGAGAGCACTGTGCACTCAAACAATGATGGATCTGGACCAAACTCTACACGAATACTCAATATGCCCAAATGTGAACACTGGTGGAGTTTGGGGAAAATAGAATCTTGACATTTGGGAGTTGTAGTTGCTGGGATTTATAGTTCACCTACAATGACAGAGCATTCTGAACCCCAAACAATTATAGAATTGGGCCACAGCAACGCATGGCAGGGGACGGCTAGTAACATAATAAAAATGCTTAAGAGAATGGAGGCTGCCTTGCACTTCTGTGATGCAGTCCAAAATCTGACTTGCTTGGAGATCTGTTCTAAATATTTTACATAACCATTACTTTCTTAATTCAACTTCCTTTCGGTATTGGCCTTTTCTCTAGAACTCTGCAATTCTACAGAAGTCTACAATTAAGCAACAATTCTCCCTAAGAAAAACAGAAACACAACAAGTTAGAAGCAGTGGTTGTTTGAAAATTAACCCGACGGTTTGGTTAAAGCAGCTACTCATCTACCTTAAATGCCACACATCAATGCTTCGCTGCACCAAAATATCGAGTCTCAGTTTAACAAAGTGGTTGTGGACAAAATAGGTGTCAGCAAAGAGGAAAGAAAGGAGAGAGAGACCTGGAACTGAATGTCAACACAGCTTGGAGCAAACAGCATTGATTCCCAGTCCTGTTCATCAGATAGAATCCATCCTTGGACCAGAAAAGAAGTACGAAGGAACTTTAAATTAGGAAAGTAAATAAAGGACACCACTCAGGAAACGGAGGAATTCCAGTCATGGATCAATCAGGTTATGAGGTCTTTGAGGATGCCTGCCATAGATGCAGGCGAAATGTCAGGAGAGAATGCTTCTGGAACAACTCTGAACTGGCTTAAATACAGTGACTTGAGAGTGTTCCAACATAAGAGTGTTTTGTGTTAAGAGCTGTCACTTGGCCTAGATTTGCTTTGACATACAAGCAGCATTTTGGGTTAGGTGCTAGCACTAGGAGGAGCTACCTTGGTAGCCACCTCTCCACCAAAGTCAACATCGACACCAAAATACAACACCGCTTGAGCTCTGCGAGTGCAGCATTTTTCCGAATGAAGCAGAGAGTGTTTGAGGACCGGGACATCCGTAGGGATACCAAGGTGCTTGTTTATAAAGCTATTGTCCTCCCAGCCCTTCTATACGCCTGTGAAATGTGGACTGTCTACAGACGTCACATGCAACTCCTGGAACAATTCCATCAGCGCTGCCTCCAGAAAATCCTGCAAATGTCAGCATGCTGGAAGAAGCAAAGACCACCAGCACTGTTCCAGCGATGCTCCTCCACCATCAACTCCGTTGGACCAGCCACATTGTCTGAATGCCCAATCATTATTTCCCGAAGCAGTTACTCTACTCTCAACCCTGCTTTACGCCTGCGAGACGTAGACTGTCTACAGATGTCACATGCAACTCCGGGAACGATTCCATCATCGTTGCCTCCGAAAAATCCTGCAATTCTCTTGGGAAGACAAGCGGATAAATGTCAGCGTGCTGGAAGAAGCAAATACCACCAGCATTGAAGGAATGGTCCTCTGCCATCAACTCTGCTGGACCGGCCACGTTGTCCGGATGCCTGACCACCGTCTCTCAAAGAAATTGCTCTACTCCGAACTCGAGAATGGAAAATGGAATGTTGGCAGGCAGGAAAAGAGATTTAAAGATGGGCTCAAAGCCAACCATAAAAACTCTGGCACAGACACTGAGAACTGGGAAACCCTAGCCCTTGAGTGCTCCAGTTGGAAGTCAGCTGTGACCAGCAGTGCTGCAGAATTTGAAGAGGTACGAATGGAGGGTGAAAATGGGAAATGTGCCAAGAGGAAGGACCACCTTCCACCTGTATACAGATGCCCTCACTGCAGAAGATGCAGATCAAGAATAGGGCTCCATAGTCACCTATGTACCCACCCTGGAAGATTATCCTACTCGGCCAACGAGGGGTCGCCTAGGAGGAACACTAGCGCAAGAGCCCAGGGCTTTCGGGCTTCAAGGGAGCAGCCTCCATGCCTTATGCTCTTGTCCGCTTTGGGAGACTGCTGTCTTCTTTGAGAAACCAGGCAGAAGGCAGGCAGGCATTGAAGCTACAGGGCCATTCAATGCTAACCAAGGTGGCCAACTGCAGCATTCACACTTGCCTCAAGCAGACAAGAGTTCTTTCTCCCATCCTGGACATTATTTCAGAGATATATAAACACTTCTTGATTAGGTTCTTGTGGGTTTTTTCGGGCTATAGAGCCATGTTCTAGAGGCATTTCTCCTGACGTTTCGCC